AGCTGATGTAGCAGCAGATGAACATGTAAAGTGCTCAGTTCCTGGTGACACATGTTAACTGGACTGTACATGGAACAGCAGTGATCAGTCAGTGTTTGTGGTTGTTCAGGAGTCTGATGGCCTGAGGAAACAAACTGTTTGTCATTCTAGTGGTCCTTGACTTCACACTCCTGGAGCGCCTCCCTGAGAGCAGCGGTGTGAAGGTTGAAGATGTCTGTGAAGACCTCAGCCAGCTCCGATGAACAGGGGAGCATCACTAAGACCCCCGCTATGCTGTCAGACATTTCTAGTGAGAAGCTGCACATCTAGCAGGAGCATCAGTATCAGCCCAATGAGATGACAAACATTTACGTTCTACTCACCAAACCCGTGATTGCGGAACACAACTCCATCCTCCTTTCTTTCCTCATCAACAGTTCAGCCCCTCTGCTGAGCAGCTAATCCACCAATCAGCCCTGTTCTGTCTCCTGGAGGCCGATGCTGACAGGTGGTCTGTCCAGTCCTGGTTCTGACATCAGGTTTAATCCGCTGTAGGGCTGACAATGTCCGCTCACTTAACTTAAAAAAGCAATCCTTTTACGAGAAAGTTTTAGCTTATGCTACAGACAGGAACCGCTCGCTTTGGCTCAGCTCTCTGACCATCCAATCAGAGGACGTGAAAGTGCTGATGTCATCGTAGGCCAGTGAGAGGGCCCTGGGACCACCAACTCCCACAAAGAAACTGTTTAATTACGGTGCATTTTAAGCTACAGACGCCTGCACTTTTGACTCTAAAAGCCTCAGGGCAGATTTCTGTACAGCTCCTGTGTCGTGAGGTTCTGGTACTGATGGACTGCAACCTCCTGCCAGAGGGGAGGGGCTCGAGCAGTTTGTGTCCAGGATGGGAGGGGTGGGCCGCCATCTTCCCAGCATGCTTTATGATCCTGGAGGGTCCCATTGTGTTTTAAAGTGACAGTAGAACTTGTTCAGAAGGTTAATGGGGGGCTTTTGGTTTGTAGCGGGTGATGGACGCAGCGCCCCCTTCAGGAGACAGCGAGAGTGAACGTTTAGTGTCTATCCCAGACGTTCATTCTGCAAAACGTACTGATTAAATGATCCTGAAGAAACGTTCTCTCATCTTGCCTATCATGACAATAAACTGGATTTGATTTGATCTGTCTGAAGCACTCCAGAGGGTCTGGCTGAGAAATGGTGCTGAAGCTTTTCACCGCCTTCACAGAGCCGAACTTTGGTTCCTTAAAGCTGCCTCTGTCTGAGGTCTGAGTTCAGCTGTGAACCAGAGCTTGTCTTTGTTTGAAGTCACCCTGGTGCTGAAGGTCCTCAGCAGGTCTTAGTCTAGTCCTGAATACATCTCCATCAGTCCAAACACGCCTGTCGATCCTCCACAGCCTCACTGGTCCACTCTTTTGAAGTTCTCCAACAGGCTTACAGTCTTATTTTCTCTCTATAACAGATGGACCATGACGTGGTCAGAGTGTCCTGGTGCATCCTGGGATGGCGTGGTAGATCTGCTCACTGTAGTGTAGCAGTGGTCCAAAATGTTCTCCCCTCTGGTGGGCATTTAGTAAACTGTATTTATGGAGTTTGCAGGTGAGATTACCTCTGTTCCAGTCATCAAGCACAATAACTGCAGTGTGTGGGTATGTCGGCTCCACACAGGGTCTGGTCGGCTGCTGGGCTGAATCAACACCATCCCAAACCAAAGAAAAGTCTTTATTCTACACTACCAGGAGCTGAAGTACGTGTTCATGTTTCCTGACGCTGCTGCAGCCATTTCAAAATGATCATCAGTGAACGACATGAACTCGTGTTTACTGATGAAACTTTGGTTTTGTTGGATGTTTGTATCCAACTAAGAACTGAATATTGATATCAATGTTACGGCCCAAAGAAGGGACAAACATATTTAAAAAGGGAACACAGGAAACATAGGTCGGGTCTTTTGGACTCATTTTTATTTTAAAAATAATGAATAAACCCTCAATCACCCTGTGCCCCAAAAATAACCAAAGTTGCAACTCAATGGTGGACCCGGCAGGTCGACCAAACAAAACAAAAAGATGTGGCACCGGGCCAACCCTATACAGGGCCGTCGAAGCCGGTGCCGACACCGAACTAAAGGAATCACGCCGAGCTAAGCCCAAGCCCCAAGGGCGAGCGAAAACTGGCCGGCTGATCCCACCGGGTCAAACAACCTGAAATCAGGAACAAAAAGATGCCAGGCCGGCATCAGAGAAGCTGTCGGCGTGTCAGCTGGAGACGAGAGCGCGCACCGGTCCGAGGCGCGCCGCATCGAGGTGGAACCTCTGAGGTGAGCAGGTCTGGAGGCAAGACCGAGAGAGTGAGCGTGTAGAAAGCCAGCCTGTTTATAGGTGGAGCAGTAATTCCATCAATTACTGGTAAAAACTCAACTAAACATGCTCACCTGGGAAAAACTTAAATATGCACACAAAAAACAAGCTCCAACAAACATATAGCGAACGAAAATACGGTGAACTAAAGAAAAAGATAAAAAATGTGCCCCCAGCACATAACAATCAATAAGATAGTAAAGCAGCACCATTGTGCTGTTTGGTCTCTTCTTTGGTGATTTACCAGAAACTCAGACTGAGCTCCACCCTAAATATACATCAGCACTGTTGAGTTTAATTCTACAATTTCATCAGCAGACGCTTTTATCCAAAGCAATGTACATCTGAGAGCAGATACAACAGCAGCAGGATCTAGTCAGCAGAAAACAATGTAGATGAGGGACATAGAACAGGTTGGAGCATGACAGGGCGCTGGTGCCTGCAGGTGGTGTAGAGAGGACAGCCTATCAGGTGCAGAGGTGTTGAGTGAAGAGCTGCTCTTCAGTCTGTTCTTACAGACTGAGAGGGAGTCAGCAGGTTGAACAGTTTGGTAGCTGGTTCCACCACCAGAACCACAGAGGAGGAGAGTCCAGCTACCGACCTGGACCTGCTGTGGTGGTTGGACCAGGAGGGAGTGTCGACCCGAAGGACAGAGTTCAGGTAGGAGGGACAGCTTCATCGTGCTGTTCAGTCCGATTCTTGTCTGAAGTCACGTGATTTACCAGAAACTCAGACTGAGCTCCGCCCTGCAGTGCTGCCAGCTCCTCAGTAAGGAAAGCAGCTATTGGCTGTCCTAAAAGTCGCAAGAAGTACCTCAATGATGTCATCACCTAATTTGCATAATTATTATTAGCATGTGATTGTAATGGACACTGTAAGAGAGAGGAATGATGTCGAGGAACAGACAGGAAGTGGGTCAGAAACACCCTGAATATGTTCAGAACTACAGATGAACGGTCATCTGGTCATTCTTGGTTTGTGTTTCCACTGAACTGGGCCGTCACTTCTCACAGTCCCTTCATGACTAATGCTGTGTCTAGACCCACATTAAATACATCAGCTTTGTCCTGTATTGTTAATGTTAGTGTAGGGTTCTGACAGTGATGAACCTCTACAAACTGAATGGACCAAACGGCATTAAAGGGCATAGCATGACAGAACAATAAAGAGCAGCCGACCAGCAATGAGTTTTTTAGTTGCAGAGCTCCAGATTTTACTTATTTCTACACACACACAAAAAATACACAGCTCACCAAAACCAGCAGGACATAGGAGTGACCAGGGTGCAGTGGCTTGTGGCAGATTGCTGCAGCAGCAGAGCGAGAGCTTCAACCTGACCCCCTCCTTCTCACACACTGACCTGATCGCTCACCTGGCCTTTATACAGAGGCTCCTCCCACCCCAGGAACGCTGTGACCTGCCCTCACTGACATTTAGAACACACACGTATATAATTGAACACCATTTACACTTAAAACACACAATGCCAATGACTACAGTCTGATACAAATGGAAGTGAAACACCTAATAAACTAAAGAAACACCAAACAAAGATCAAACTCTGCAGATCGAACCCCCCCTCCTCTCTGATCCCTCCATTCAGCCCAATCAGATAAGTGGGAGCTGCTGGCATCCTGCAGCCGCATCTTCCTGTGTGCGCTCCATGAAAACATGCCCCTGGAGTGGAGCTCCAAGAGAGAGCAGTTGACAAGGACCTTTTCACATAAAACAAAGTAATAAATACACTTGCTGTATCAGTCTGTGGTATCCAGCTGTCAGTGTGCATGTGTGCTCCTCTTTCACCTTCGTGAGGGGATACTTCCCAGCTCCCTTACCGTTGGAAGATCACATTTAATCCAACGACTGTAATGTGGGCAGAAGCTGGCAGCTTTACGTCCAACCCTCCTCCTTTATCTGGGCTTCTTCTTCTTCTTCTTCTTCTTCTTCTTCTTCTTCTTCTTCTTCTTCTTCTGTTGATTTCCAGCAGGCTGTACGCTGGAGTGCGCAATGCTGCCCTCCACTGTCAGTCAGGACTTTCAAATTCTCATAAAAAGGCCAGTAAGGCGGAGATACAACAACACAGCATCGCCCACTCCCCTCTGATTGTAAGACAATGTTGACCCGGTTGAAAAGACAGTCCAACCCGTCTCAGCCAGCTCCATAAACAGCTGCCTTCTCTCTCTCACGTATTTGCTGCATGACAACAGGACATGGCTCACGGCTTCTGATCCGCCACACTCACACAACCCATTCTCATGTCTTCCTATAGTAAACAGGCTGGATGCAAGGCCACAGTGTCCCTTATCTGGGCTTGGGACCCAAAGTGACCCAAAGACACTCTGGCAGAGTTCCTTCCGGTTCTTGTTTTTTACTTGTTGGATTTCTTTTTGTTTTTTCTGACATGATGAGCTAGCTAGCTGTTTAGCTCATGTCACAGAGAGCCACACACAGAGGACACGGTGAGTCAAATGATGTATTTTACTGTGACAGTGAACAAAGTTGAACATCCAGATCTCCTCTGTGAGCCCAGCTGGGAACAGCGGCGGCTTGGCGCATGCGCGATTCATTTGAGGGTCTCTGATCCGATCGCAGTTGCTTCAGGCTGCAGAGCGCCTGGGAGAGCTCCGGGACGGGACGAGCTCACGGAAGCCCCCGCTGCTCAGGACAGTAACGGCACAACGAGACGTGCTTTTCCGTCAGCCTCCAAAACGCCAGAAAAAGTCGCCAGATTGGTCACTTTTGGGGGGAAAAAGTGGCCAAGTTGACAGCACTGGCTGCGCCCTGCAGGTCCTCCCACAGCCTGCAGGCATCAGCGCCCTGTCAGGCTTGAACTTGTTCCAGGACACTGGTCCAGGTCGTTCTCTCCTGACGGACTGGATCTGCTCTCTGGTGTACGGCGCTGTGGATAGAAGCGTCTGCTGAAAGACACTGGAGAAGATCCGTCTGTTGTCGTGTTCACTGACTGAACTCTGGTTTTGTTGGATATCGGTTCCAGTCCACGTGTTGATCAGAGACGGAGGAAGACGGTAACATGTCTGCCTGGTTCTGGCTGATGCTCTGCTTCCTGGTCCGGTCCTCTGAAGGTGAGCTACACTGGGCACTTGTTCACATCTGACGCTCATCAGTTCTCCTCTGAGGGACCTGGACAGGCTCTGATTGTGGAGGAATCACTGTAATCATGTCATCATGTGTCACATATGTGTGTGTTTGTGGAGTTTGGAGCGACGAGGCGCAGCGTCTGTCTGCGGCTCGTTCTCAGGACTTGGACTTGATGAGCTGAGGCTCAGGGAGGTCCGATTATTGTTATTATGATTATGATTATTATTATTATTATTATTGTTATCAGCAGCAGCATCAGATGGTCTGACCTCGTGTCCAGAAACGTCCTGCACATGTCGGATCATTTCTGTTGAGTGTGTAGGTCTTGTTAGGTGTGTTCTTAGGTTTTAGAGAGAGAAGACAATCTGTCTGATCTGTAACCAACTTCTCCAGCAGAGCAGCTTCATGTCAGCGTGAACAGTTTATTCAGTGTGGTGCAACGTGATTGGCTGTATGGTTGCAGAGGAGCCGTGGTTTACACTTCGCCCTCCCTTCATTGGTGCACAGATATGTCCATACCTCTTGGCACACGATTCATCCAATCCACAGCAGCCGCACCCTGTAAAGAAAACCTCCCTGCTGCTATTTCCTGCTCTCTGGCTGTCAGGACTTTGTTGGCTGCTATGTCTGCTGCAGCTGATGTCATACAGGGAGGATGTCATGATAGTCAGTGGAAAACAGCCTAAACACAGCAGAAGGCCGCTATGTTGGGCTGTCAGAGTGTGATGAGCAGCTGCATTCCTTCTGTCTGACCCGGTTTGACCTCCCTGAGCTCAGTCCTTCAGGCCTGATGCTTGGTCCTTCGTTCCCTTTCTTCAGATCAGCACAACTCAATGGTGTCAGTGTCAATGCTAAGCTAGCAGTGCCTTCACAAAATAACATGTTCCAACAGTCTGAGTGTTGGTGTTCATTCATGTGTGAGTGGATGAGAGACAGCAGGGCTGAACTAGTGACCTGCACATCATCATCATCATCATCATCATCATCATCATCATCATCTCTAGAGGTGCAAACGTTCACACACACACATCAGTGAACAAACACACACTGTGGCGTCCTCACAAACATCCTCCAGCGTTGTAGCTGCAGACATCTCTCCGTGGTCCTGCAGGTCTCTGCAGCACAGCAGGAGGTGAACAAACAGACCATCATGTGTCTGATCCAGATGTGAGAGAACAACACAGTCTGACAGGAAACGCTGCAAAGTCAATTAAAGACAGTGAAGTGTTCAGACAGGATTTACATTTCAGATCCAGTCTGGACCGATCATGGTTCCTGATGCTGTAATCTGATTACATACTCCTGATCCCATGTATTACTAGCCAACCCTGATTACTGCTCATCACACCTGATGAATCCACTGGTGACAGAAAGAGCAGCTGAACTGTTCACAGACGAGTCCTGTGAACAGCTCAGCGAGCGCCATGACAGGGCGCTGGTGCCTGCAGGTGGTGTAGAGAGGACAGCCTATCAGGTGCAGAGGTGTTGAGTGAAGAGCTGCTCTTCAGTCTGTTCTTA